GCAGGAATTGGGCAGGTCAGATGTTTGGTTTATACAATGTATTTATTTTTAGAGATGGAATTGAAAATGTTACAAAATCCTCTCAAAAAGAGAAAGAAGGTAGATTCTCAAATATTCTTATGCCTGCTGAATTAGGTGCACACACTATTGTCAATATTTCTCTGTGAGCAAGCAATCTCACTGCCTAATCACAATTTACTGTATGTTTGCAGTTCATTACGACAAAGTGCATTTCTCTGTACCTGAAACCCCATTAGCCTCTCTGCTCTGCTGTGCCACAACAGCTGGAATCCTTGTGTTTGGATCTTCAGACACAAAGACTGCAGTGTGGCTGATCTGCATCAGAAATAATTTAATTTATAGGCAATTGCCAAGTAACTTTGACTGATATGGCTTTGAAGAAGACACCTTAGGTTCTGGAGAAAGCCACACTTAATGTCCCAGTGGCACTTAATTATTAGCCCCAGAAAATTAAGGTGGGTTACGAAAGAAAATACTGCCACATGAGTCATATTTTCATGCTTCATTCTTATTCTGAGTATTTTGTATTCTGCCTCAGTAATACTGATTATTTTACAATTGCATATTAATCTTCAGTATAAAATGTTTTATAGAAAATTGATTTGAAAGACATCTGTTCTTAGAAGTTCAAACCACGGTTATGTGTAATCGTGGTTATAATTTAGATAAGGAGGATGAAGGCTATATTCAAAAAGCCTGAGGCACTGATACTCAGACTTGCACAGATTTAGTCACCTAAGACAACAGTGAGCCCCCCAAACCCTGCCAGCCCCGGGAAGGTCTTAATGTCTTGTTAGACTAAGCACCTTAGGTCCCACCTCACGCCTACACCAGTCAAGGGCTTGGACAGCCAAGGGCATGGACAGTGTTGGCATAAAGTAGAATAAAAAAGAAAGCCCTTAAACACTGGTTGAAAACAGATCTCCTACACCTTGGGAAAAAATGCCTTAGGCTCCTGTCTGCAGAAGGCAGACCAACACTGTGAGTTGCAAGTAGAAGTAGGTGCATATGTGCATGAGAAGGAGCAAGTCAGAGAGAGAAACTGGGCTCAAAACACATCCGCCTTCAGCATCCCTCGTTGCCCTTACATGTCATGTAGATATCTAGGTCTCTAAGTCTCACTCCCCTATAACGGCTCAGGCTTCAACGCTAGTTGTTGCAAAGCTCAGTTTGATGGCTCAAAAGCCTCTTTATGGGTCCATCCCTCAGTCCTTTATTTGTGAGGGTAAAGAGAGCTCTGCTGTTTTCACCATCTTCCCCAAAGCCTCACACCTTTTTTTTGCAGCTCTGAATGCTGACAAAAATGGAGGTAACTTAAGGCAAAGGTGGAAATGTCTCATCAGCTCCTGGGCTTTGGTCAATGACAAGACGCACAGGGCCAGTACACAACAGTTACAATCAGTGGTTTCCCCAGAAAGAGAGCAAACACCAAAATCATAATGAAAAGCTCTGCTTCTGGTTTCAATAATTTACAATCTTTTAATAACATTTTGTCATGCTTTTGTTATGTTTGTGTTCCTCTTGTATTCAGAGTGAAAAGAAACGAGATTTAATAAATACAATGAAGAATTCACATGACAGTACAACAGCCTGAAGGGAAAAAGGGGACATTTCCAATATTTCACCGTCAATAACTCATTCATGTATCAACTTCCTACTGCATGTTAGGACTGCTTGGGCAGCCAGGCAATCCTGGGGAAATGTTGGCTGGATTAATTGCCAGGACCACTGGTACTAATTGTAAGTACTCATAGCTTCCTGGGGAAGAATGAGCATGTCATCAGCTCGGCTACTGGAAGAGGTGTTCCCATTCCTATCAGTCTCCCATAGGCTCAGGCATTTTTAAACTTATTTTTATCCCATTTCTAGTAAGGCAATGGAATTTTATTTCCTAAGAGAAAGAAAAGATATTGAATTAAGGCATCAGGGAGATGCCATCTTCCTTGTCATGGTTTGTCAAAAAGGCAGAGACTGCCCATCCCTGGAACTAGCAGTGGTGATGGTATGGCAGAAGGGTTACTCCTTCCATAAATCTGTAGCTGAGTTACAGTATATAGGTATCTTGCCCTTTCTCTGATGCAGACCACTTGCTCAGAGAATGGCAGGGAAGGCTATTTTTCTAGTGCAGTGACAAGGCAGCCCCAGTGACAGGGGAAAGTGGGTTATGTTTGATACTCCACCAAAGCTGAGCCAATAGGGTCTTGAGCTGAATGCACAGAACAGGCAGGGAAAGATGGAAAATGAGAGGATGGAATTTTTTTCTAAGAAATAGCCTATCCAGGATGAAAATAAAATTGTCAAGAAAACTTTACTTACTAGGAATGTAAGGAGGGTCATTGATATCATTAACAGCACATCCAGGATACTGGCCTCTTAAGAAATTGGATGGTTCATTCATATCCTTTAATAAAGAGAGTAAGACATGTCAAAAGCCTCATTTTCTTTTTTTGAAAGAAGGGAGGGAAAATATAATGAGACATACAATCCAGATGCCATCGTAGTCAAGGACTTCCTTGAACTCCAGACACATCTGGGTCCACCACTCGACTGTCCTGGGGTTGGTGTAGTCAGGGAACACCGAGTCTCCGGGAGGCCAGGCCTAGAGTTCACAGGTATAATGCCTGGTTATCTCCTCATTTCTGTTACACAGCTACTTTATCACTTTGAAGCAACACTAGACCAAATGCACGAGAGGATGTAATAAACCAACCTTTCCAACAGCAGGAGTTACGCCATCGGAGTTGTTCACCCAGACTCCCATTTCCTCTCCAAGATCATAAGGCCTGTAAGTGCCCGGTTCTTCGTCCTTAGTTATGAAAGGGTCCTGAAAACAGTGATTACACTTCCATTATCAAAATCCCAAAGGTAACAATTACTTTTCTGTTTGTATATTTTAGAAGAATTTGGATTATGTTCTTAATGCAGATTGCAATATTATTGGAAGAAAACAGCATTAAAATTTAATAAGAGTTGAGCGCACATAATAATTTAGGAAAAGTCATTAAAGATATGTCATGAGTATTTCTTGTATAAGGCAAAAGTGATGTGAAATTATTAAATACCCTTATGTTTACTTTTTATGAGACATGCTATGTTCAAATTATTTTAGAGAGGCACTAGATTTTACTTTCCACCCTGCCAAGGTCTCTGCTTGGCAGAGCGGGGTGCCATGATGGGCATTCCCACACTTGGACACCTCTGGGTTTCCTCCAAGGCAATCCTCATTCCAGCTGCCTCAGCATCAGCATCTTGATACTGGAATAACTAAAACTTCTCAAGGGGCTTGAAGTTGGGACACATCCAACCTCAAAAGGACCTCATTAGTCCTCCCTTCAGATCCAATGTCAGGCAAGGGTGTTTTATGCCACTCTGGTGCAGAGTAACCCAACTCATGCCTGCGTGTGGGACCATACATCTCTGTTCTCCCCAGGCATGAAGACCACAGCATTTTACATCCCATACCTCATCCTTGCTGCCCCTTTCACTGCTTGGGGTGGTCACCACCTCCCATTTCTGCCAGTGGCATTGACACCACCCACTTCTCTGCCTCAGAATGTCCATCAGTAGCCACCAAGCTCATCAAAAGGGAGCCTCATCTGCTCCTGGGAGGATGGTGGCCCACCATGCCAGGAAGTAATAAAGTTAGGAATACTTTGAATGCCAGTGAATGAAGAGATACTTTTCAACTCTGCTCAGCAGTCAACTGGAACTAAAAGGAGATAAGTACGCTTTGCAATATGTCCCTAATTGGGAGCAGCTATCTGCTTTGTGTTATTTAGAACAGAGGAACGTTGCAGCCATTTTAGAAGAGGATTCTTTATTTTTCTCTTAGAAAATGTTATTCCCTCAGGTCCTGCTTAAAGCAAAACTGTTCAGTTATGAAACACAATGGAGAAAAACACCACTGAAACAATTCTTCCATTCACTTATAGCTTGTGCAATAATTTGTGAACTTAAATTACAGTGTGATAGAAGTCTAACTAATGAACTTCTTAAGAACAAAAAATACCTGATCCCAAATGGTAAATTTCTTTAAAGACATGTTCTAAAGCTCATTTTAATACCTAAATTAATTGCCTGATTTACTTGTAAGCCCTCTGATAACTATAGCCCTGGTGAGGAAAGTATATTCTTCCATGCCTCCAAACCAGAAGCCCCTGCTAAATCCCTATCTTAAGTGCAAAATTCTGTTCAACTTTAACTACCTAGCTCCAGTGTCACCTCCATAAAGAGTATAAGTGTCCATTACATTTTTAACTTGTTTAATAGTTCAGCTTTGGAAAAGAGAAAACTGTCTATCTGCAATAATTATAATTGTGGAAAAGATGTGTCTTAAGGGACTTGAAGGCTGGAAAAAGTCAGCTCAATTAGCTACTCCTAATCCAAACTTCTGGTTTCCTTCAGCTTTATTCCAGTGCATAAATCTAATATATTATGCAGGTTTAGTATCATCCTAAAGAGAACAAAACCTTCCCGTGCATTCACAGGTTGTTTGGGGGGGGGGAGGAAGTTCATGTCTGTTAAATCTTCCCTAACTCATCTTTTTAGCAGCTCTTGGAGAGGAGGTGCTGAGTATCCTTAACTCCAACGGACTGCCCTGAGACCTGGGCACACCCAGCACTTATGCAGACTGATGCACTTCCACCCATGGCCCCAAACAGATTTTGACACACACCCACAAAAATTCATCTCCAGTAATTTTAGCCTCTACAGCTCATAGAGCTGGACTTTAAGATTTTGAAGTTATCAAGCATTATTTTGAATCATGAGCATGTTGCTATTGACTTTTAAGTAATTTGTCACTCATGTCATTCCTAGCTGTTTCTATTTTTAGTGTGATTTAATGGAAGGTATACAAGGTCTTTCATTAAAGCTCCTCTTCAGTAATAATGTTTATCATTTTACATTGTAGTCATTGTAACTTTTAGAATTTCTTTCTTTGTTACTAAAGAATATATTTGTTCTGACTCAGCTGAAGCGTGCACATTATTCAGTGCAATAATGATGACCAAGTACTCACACTCTTAGACAAAATTTCCCTTAAATGGAGGTGGCCTCTGAAAGAGATCAGGAGAGAGAAGTGCTGAAGGACTGCATTTAGAGACTCCAGTAATGGGGCCATGCTACTATCAAGGTGACCACAGGCACAGAGGGCTGTCAGCGTTGGATGCAAGTGTTGGGACTGGACTTCCTGATGGTGAGGCACGAGCCAGCCCAGCACTGGTGGCACAACTGAGTTCAGGGTCCTGTCCTCAGGCAGGTTTCTGGTACTAATACTGCTGGCAGTCCGAATCTACACTTTGCTCGTGACCATAGCAGTCCTTGATGAGGAGGACTGAACCCATCTCCCCCAAATCCATTTACTAGGGATTTACATGTCCATTTACATGACACTAAGTGACTGCAATCAGAGCCCATTTCCTGAAATCCTCATGAGGGAGGCAACCATCTGCTACACTTGGGGAACTCACTCATTACTGTCACTACCTAAAGGGAATCTAAACGGAAAATTGTTCTTTCGGTATCAAACTGGATTACACTTGCCTTGATTGCAGTTAGCATGGCTTTGCTGTCACTTGGGAATGAAACCCTTCATACTGTTCCTGACTCAACTTATGGGAATGCTTTACATCACTAAAGAATTCTAACAGTCAGAGATTGGCAGAAATATCAGCAACTGTAATAAAGTGAAAATAGAAAACTTCACTACCAGTGCAATCTATACTTCCCATGAAATGAAGGACAAACTGGATCAGCTTTTGTTCTTTTTCACAAGCTTATCTAAAGAACTAGAGCAGAAGACAGTCCTTAGTTACAGGTTAGTGGAAGTAGGAAAGAAGGGCTTCCTATCTGGATTCCCATTAGCTCATAGCATGAATTAAGAATTGTTATATTCCTTGCATCTGCCTTACAACACAATTTAGATTTATATAGCAACAGCTCCTTACACTGCTCTGGCATGTGCCATCTGAGAAACTGAAAGGGCTTTAAAAATGTTATTGAGGTTAAGCTCACAAGCAAGAAGATAACGTAGCGCACCCACTAAACCGAGTCTGCTTGCCTGTAGCTTCTTACCCAGCAGCCAGTGCAAAAAAACTTGAAGCATCGTAACTTTGATGAAAAAGAGGTGACTACCATGTATTTACTGAAGGACAAGAGTTTGCATGGGAAGAACTACACCAAACTTATTGTATTTTGCTGATACACTCATGCTTTGCAAACATTTTTGAGATAAACCAATAAATAGGCAGGTGGTATTTAATGTTACAGTTCTAAGAGATTAGATGGATTTTTAGAGCAGTATTGAAGATACAGGGAGCCTAAACTGTCCAATAGTTGGAAAGAGCACTCAGTTCTGACAGCACGTGTGCTCATCTACCTCTTGGTTAGTTATTTACAATGACGTATCCAGTTAATTTGGGGCTATTTTTGTCTTGAAGTTGTTCTCCATCAGAGTGACTTAGTAATCTGTTACAGTTTAAACTCCGTGCCTTGGACCTCCACTGATGGAAACTGTTTTCACTGCTGCACCCTGGAGCTTCTCATGATTTACAGCTGCAGAAGAACTGGGACCTTCATAGGAATGTATCTTTAAGGACAAATTGCTGGCAAAGAGTGCTCACTATATAGGCTGCTCTTTCCATTATCAATATGTAATTGATTACTTGGGCTGCGTGGTTTTGTTTGAGATTCCTAGCAGCAAATGTAATTATGGTAGAACAACATGAAGATTAGGCCAATAATAAATACAGAGCAGGTATTTTTAGTGGAACTACCAAAAAAAACCCAGCAGACTGAAGAACAACAAACCTCATAACTATATTTTGAAAAGACTGATATGGGTATGTGTGGTGCTGACTAGTCCATCCTTAGTCATATGCTAAACTTTACAACAAATTGTGGAGGAAAAAATAAGGACAGGGAGGCACTTCTGACTTAATCTATCATCTGTTTGACAAGCTAATGTGATTTTTAGATGAGGGAACTGCAGTAGCTCTTGGTTATCTTGACAGCAGTAAACATCTGGTACAGCACCACAAATGAAAGAGGAACTATCCCACAATTTAGGACTCTGCTATTCAGTCTCTTTTCCCACAAGCCTTTGACAGGACCCCCATGACAAGATGAGGAACGTGTCCCTTATTTTAAAAGGACTGGATCAACTTAGAGCCCAAACATCAGTGGCCTGTCCATTATGATTCAGCTGGATTAATTGGTCTCCTTACAAGTATGAGCCACCAATATAACGCAGGTAAACATGATGCAGGGCTTTGTCATACAAGACAATTTTTAACAGAAAGAAGGAAATATTTCTGCCATTCTCCAAACACTGTGTGGGCATCATCTGGAGCGCTGTGAAATCCAGTTATCTGCTACACAGGCAAATGCATTCAAACTGGGGCACATGTCGGGGAGAGCTACTACAATGAGATCTGAAGACCTCATCCGATAAAAAGAGAATAAAATACTTTTGTTTCCTTAGCCTAGCAAAAAAGGCTGAGGGAGAATATGCATGTTTGAATAAGTATATGAAGAAAGAAAGGAGAAGGATGAGAGACTGGCAGTTTGAGATAAATAAGAATAGTAACACCCAAATGAAAGGTGTAAGCTGACTGTTTAGGCTGGAAAATAGAGGACTGCAATTACAGCAAAAAGTCCTGAGAGGGACTCTGTGGGATTGTCTCCTCCTCCTTCGCCTGCGGGTCAGCTCAGCCTGAGCCTGTCCAACCTGTATGCAACACCCGCTTGGGGAGAGACCCCCAGCCCCAGGCAGCCGGCTCCCTGCTTGGCTCGCCTTGCAGACAGGCAGCTTTATCCTAATGTCTACCTTCAATTTTTCTGCTGCAATTTAAAGCACTTTTCTCCTGTCCCTAGTGCTTATGGAGAACAAATTAAGCCTCTCTTCTCAGTGGCGACGCTTCGCACCCTGTGTGCGCCGCTCCGGGTCTGGTCGCTCATGAGCCTTCCCACCCCAATCCTTCCCAGACGGTGCGACTGCCCCAGCCTGTGCTGGGGAGCGCAGCCCTCCTAGTACTGCGCTGCCGGGGCCCTGGGGAGCAAGGTCTTATGCATCTATCAAGGACTTTTATTTAATTGCTTAATTTATTTAATTTTTTATTTAAATTTCAATTTAGTTGGTCTCCAATTTCCTCACCACCATTGGCACTCATTTAGCTATTGTGACAAAGAGTAATTTCGGCACAAGGACATGTATGGGGACTTGCTGGAGAGAAACAGCAAACTTTGTTGGAAAAATTGACAGGGGAAGATGGAAAACTCTGATTTTCACTTCTGCCCAAATTACTTCATTTGGTCATATGTCAATTTTGGTTACAGGTTCAACATACATTTTCCACAAATTTTCATGCAAACAAGCATCTCTTACATTAATTTAGATAAAAAGTAAATATAAGGCAACATGAATTGTAGTTACTAGCTTTCCAGAGTGATTATTAATAGATTTTTTCCCCACTATTCAGCTATTTTTGTGTGCATATTAAATGTATTTGTTAATTTTCAGGAAAAGAATTGCATGAAAGCTATCCTGTCTCAACTCAGCCCTGAACAGAGACAAAATGTCTCACAACTGAGTGGGAAAAAGTGAAAGAGAATTAATGTTATGGTATAGAGATGGTGGTTGTACACAAATATCTGATAAATACAACACATTTAAATATGAAATCTGTGAGAAATTATTCTTCAGCTCTTCTCAACAAATGACAAAAATGGAAAATCTGCTACAATAGCATGCGTGCATTAACACCTAGGTACTGCTATGAACACTATGCTGCAAATAGTTCTTGTAAATGGAGAAATAATTAGCAACATCGTTAACTTACCAGAATCACGACCTTGTGCATTCCTTCCTTCTTCAGCTGTTGGAGGTACTCTGGCAGACCTGCAAAATTCACTTTATCATAGGTAAAATCCAGGCGACGTTCCATGTAGTCGATATCAAGATACTGGACATCCTAAACGTTTTTAAAGTAAACATTACATGAGTACTTCATCCAGCTCTGGAGTCCTCAGTACAGGAAAGACATGAACCTGTTGGAGCAGATCCAGAGGAGGGCCACAAAAATGATCCGAGGGCTGGAGCACCTCTCCTATGAGGCCAGGCTGAGAGAGTTGGGGTTGTTCAGCCTGGAGAAGAGAAGGCTGTGGGGAGACCTTATTGCGGCCTTTCAATACTGAAAGGGGACTTATAGGAAAGACGCAGACAGACTTTTTAGTAGGGCCTGCAGTGACAGGACAAGGGGAAATGGTTTTAAACCAAAGGAGGGTAGATTTAGGCTAGACATCAGTAAGAAATTTTTTACATTGAGGGTGATGAGACACAGGAACAAGTTGCCCAGAGAGGTTTTAGATGCCCCATCCCTGGAAGTGTTCAAGGTCAGGTTGGACGGGGCTCTGAGCAACCTGACCTAGCTGAAGATGTCCCTGCTCATTGCAGGGGAGTTGGACTAGGTGACCTTTAAAGGTCCCTTCCAACCCTAACTATTCTATGATTGAAGTATTTGATACAGAAAATCAGAATGTATGCAACTGCATTTCTAAATGGTAACTAATGTGTGAAATGAAACCTAAGAGATAGGCTATAATAATTGTAAATAATTTTCAAGCCAAATTCAGCTCCTATAAACTTACATGGTAGCAATGGACAAAATGGAAATGTAGAAGTCCTAGTTTAGCAACTGTGTGGCAGTGATATGCATCAGAAGTACCATAATTTATTTTTAAAATGCTAGCACCTCATACTGCATAACAGTAAATCCACACCAGCATTGGCTGTTATGCAGCCAAGAGCAGCACTTAAACCTCATGTTCAAAGCCTGCTTTAAATGTTCTTTTAAGCATTATAAAGATATTACATGCAAAACCGCTACACAAGATTATGAACATCCTTTTATTCTACAATTCTCTTTGTAGGATAATCACTTTTCCTCTATTATAATTTTATTCATCTCACTTTGGATTGTAAAATTAACATACACAGTGAAAAATTCATACTTACGTATGGGATATCATAGTAGTGCATGCGATCGACAGTTTTCTTTAAAACGTCAATGCTGCCATAACCCCATCGGGAGAGATGAAATCCCAGAGACCAGTAGGCAGGCATGTGTGGGCGTCCAATGGCCTACAGTAGGAATGAGGAATACAAAAATGCAAAGGGTGAGATGAAGAGACGTTATTCTGAAACACCAGGAGAGGCTCCCAGCTCATTTAAGCCATGAAGATCAGGGCACAAGCATCACACTCCCATGAAATACCCTTTCCTTTCTCAGAATGGCCAACTGTACAGTATGCTTGGCTTCAAAAAAACACTTCTCCTGGTGGACCCTTGTCCTTAGCAGAGGCTCTGAGTGACATCCACACTGAGCATCACTTCTAAGAACACCGCAGTGGAAGACACTGTGTATAAAACCTAGGCTAATGTTAAATGAGGGTCTCACCAAGGTCTCAGCCTCCACACAGTAGCACATGCCTTCACTTACGTGGTGCATGCTAGCAGAAACCCAGCATGGAGCCTCGCACTGCCTGACCCATGCCAAGTCCAGTTGGCGACCAGTCACAAGCAGTGTTCCCCAGGGCTCTGTTTTGGGGCCAGTCTTGTTTAATATCTTTATCAACACTCTGGACAAGGGGATTGAGTGCACCCTCAGTAAGTTTGCAGATGATACCAAGTTAGGTGGGAGTGTTGATCTGGGCAGGATGGCCCTGCAGAGTGATCTGGACAGGCTGGATCGATG